GAGTTCCCGATGTAGATCTGAGCTCCAGATATGTTAGCTACTTCATCTCTATCCATACCAAACAAAATGAAGTAGCTAACATATCTGGAGCTCAGATCTACATCGGGAACTCTCTAGAGAACAACGGCACCAACAACAGGCTGTAATTACCTTAATTGATTTATTTAATGTTTTCAGACCTTAAAATAATTTTTTTTAATGAACACATCAATGTATTAAATGTAGTTGTTTTTCTTTTTAATAATATATCTTTTGAGGCAGTTTTCAAACATGGAATTCAATGTAATATTTTTTGCTTAGATTTCTTTAGAAATACGTCACACTGGTGATTTTCAAGAACATGCCAGGATCAACAATGAAACCTGATGAGAATAGTTTAATTGTTTTTTAAACACAACATAAAATGCTAGAGTCAGCTCTTTTACAAATCCTGAAAGTCACAAAAAGCTGAAAGATATTGAAGTTTTTAAAATAGAACCATCACAATCTCACTGCTTTCCTTAGTGGTTCCTTCTTCTGCAGCTTTTGCTACAATAATGTTCAGTAGTATTCAGGGTCTGATCAGCTGTTTGTTTGGATATTTTTCCTCATCCAGGGTTTACAACATCACAGCTGACAAAGGACAGGAGATAAACTATGAAAACCTTAAAATGACTGCCTTCAGCTTTACCACCTCAGCGTTGGGACGATACGTCACTGTGTTCAGACCAGGCCACAAGCATCTGGTTCTTTGTGAGGTGAACATCACTGGTATGTTTGATTTAATTTACTGCCATAAAGAGAGAAATGTAAAATTCTTAGTAGCTGCAGATAGTTTGATGCTTAAATATCTCGATTAATATTATAACTTAGACTGTTATTGTTATTTTAGAGATATATCAAGCAGGGTATGTTTTTTTTTGGCAAATTATTTTATATAGATAATATTTTGATAAAATTATAATTAAATTAATATATTTTTCATTGGTTGTTAAATTTGGATTAGTGACTATAATATTTCTTATTTCCTCAGAAAAAATATAATAAAACAGAAACTTATGTTAGCTCATAAAATAAAAGATGTGAAACACTGATAATCACCCATGGAGGTGTCAAACTACCATTTTAAAACAGGATTAGTTACCTTCCTGTTTGTGAAGCAGAAGCTAGCTATGATTTGTAGTGAGGCTGCCGTAGTAGATGGAAACACTGCATCATAAAGAAAGGTGAAATGAAGATAAATTTTTTACCAGCATCCATTATGTCTAATCATTACATCTGCATCAATAAACTACATCCGATCAAAACT